GTCTTTGATATTAAATCAAGTTACACTTTTTGAGCGTGGTGATCGATAAGAAAACAATTTTTTTTCTCTTATTGAATAAATGAGAAGTTAATATTGTTTAAAATATTTTTAATATCTTACAATACATGTAGGTTATTCAGGAATTTTTATCATTGAGTTAGCAGCTAGTGTACACGCATACGTTACGTCTAGTCGCACGCACACAAACACCGTGCCGAACTCTGCCGAGTGCCGAAGTCTGCCGAACTGAAACGACGTTAGACGATGCACGGCTTTCAACGCCACACCTCCGTGCCCGTCGGAGTGGGGAGCGTGAGGTTTTTTTTCGTTACGGAATTTCTGGATTCGGTCCCCGCGCTCAAGGCCCGCGATAGAAGCTATGCAATAGCTTAAAAGGGATAAGCTCTTTTCTTGAAGGGCCCTAAGTAGTATCGGTCCGGAAAAATCTCTCGTATTAGTTGATTCCACAAGGAATTTGTGGGAGGAAAAAAACTTCTTTTAAATCGCACAGTGGTGGACCGCCAGTCATCCAGATGGTGTGGATGGTATCGCGAGTTTTGTCGCCATATATGATAGTGAAATTATGCGGCTAGAGTTAGTCAGAACAATTCCTCAGAGCACTCCCCGTGATATTCTTTGCGACATTTCTCAGTGAGATCATTAGAATAATAATAATAATAATAATAATAATAATAATTTTTTGTTTCTCACATAACTTTTACAAACAAATCATATTGAAGCTCTGTAGCCCGTGGTAGTTGAAAACTGTGTTACAGGCTACAGCATCCTCCCCGTTTCAGTGACATATAGTTGTAATGTGACAAACTATTATAGCAAACGGTATAAAAAATTAATTAGAATGACATCAAAAATAACATATAGCTTAACAAAGTATAAAGAGAGAGAAAAAAAAACAATAATAATAAGGTAAATAAAAAGTGTGTGTGTGTGTGTGTGTGTGTGTGTGTGTGTGTGTGTGTGTGTGTGTGTGTGTGTGTGTATGTGTGTGTGTGTGTATGTGTGTGCGTGTGCGTGTGTGTATGTGCGTGTAAACGTCGTAATATTGTATAAGAATTATTTAGTGGAAACGATAAGATTCTCAGTAGCGTCATAGTCAAAATTACTTAACCACTTTAGTAAAATTGACTTAATATTATGATTACTTAGATGAGCGGTTTTAAAAATTGTATTTAATTTGTTCTACAGTAATGTAGCAGAATAGTTAAAGTGTCTTCTAGCGAAGTTGCTCTTGTAGGCAGGCAAGGGATAGCGGACCGTCCTCTTATCACTTATTTGTATTTGAGAAGCAGTACTTTTGTGATATTTACGAATAGAATGGAAGATATATAACTTTCGTATGGTAAGTACGCCACATATTTTGTATAAGTCCTCAGTCGGGTGTCTAAAAGGTAGGCCTTTAATAACTTTCAATAAAGCACGTTGTGCACGTTCGAGTTCGATAAGGTGTGTTTTAGCTGCCCCACCCCAAGAACTAATGCAGTAAGTCATAACACACTCTGCAAGGGCTTTATATACTTTCATTATAGCCTCATTATCTAAAACATCTCTTAAGTTTTTAAACACATATATGAGCTTCCTTAATTTATTACTAACAGCAGCGATATGTGCTAACCAATTTAACTTGTCATCAATAATTACGCCCAAGTATTTTACATTGTCACTACGCAATAAGTGCGGACAGTTACATGCAGGTGTGGTGGTTGGAAACCTGTTACAAGGAAATTTATGTATTACTAATTTTGAATTTACACTCGGCTTGCAAGCATTTGTAATGCTAAAGCTTAAGAACTTTGTTTTAGACGTATTTAATGATAGTAGGTTGTCTTCCAGCCATGCAGTAACGGTTTTTAAACCTTCTTCAGCTAACTTGTATACTGAGTTCCAGGTTCGTTCCCGAAATAGAAGTACAGTATCGTCTGCAAACATCTGAATTGTTGCACCATTTACTACTGTATTACACAGGTCATTAATGTAGATCACAAACATCGTGGGGCCCAGTGTACTTCTTTGTGGAATACCATATGTACAGTATGCGCTGTCACTTAGTAAGTTATAAAGTCGTACGTTTTGTTTTCTTTCACTCAGATAGTCTCTAAACCACATTAGCGAGGTACCTCTTATACCAAAGCCTTCCATACGTGCCAGTAGGATGGGAATAGACACTGTATCGAATGCTTTTTGAAGATCCAAAAATACGCCAAGGCATTTATCACCCGCATTCAGATGATTGACTATTTGTGATGTAAGATTTTGAACAGCATCATCCGTAGATCGTCCGCATCGAAATCCAAATTGGTTATTGGATATAAATTTATGTTGTTCTAGATATCTTAAAAGTCTTTTGTTTACAATTTTTTCCATAACCTTAGATAAGGAAGTCAACAATGAAATGGGCCTATAGTTGGTGGGAAGTCTTTTGTCACCTGATTTGTATAACGGTGTAACTACTGTTCTTTTGAATATATTAGGGAAGGTACCTGTATTAAAGCTCAGGTTACACAAATGCATCATAGGTTCCGCCAGAACATGACAACTGTCTTTTAGTACCCTACAAGGTATGTCGTCCCAGCCAGTTGCACTAGATTGCCTGAGGTCCTTTATGGCACTTACTACTTCCAACGGATTAACTTGATAAAGCACAAATGAGTTTAATGGAGCACTTTTTGTAAAGATTTTGGAAGCTAATTCAATGTCTGTAGTATTTAAGGTCTTGAGTGTATTATTAGCTATACTGTTGCCAATACTGGTAAAATAATTATTGATTTCGTTAAGTGATTCCTTTACTGTTGGTTTAATTTTCATGAGACATTCAGCTGTTTCGGTTCTTTTTGTGAAACCCCCAACTTCTTTAATTAGGTTCCACGTTTTCTTACTATCTTTAAGATGTTTAGTAAATTGCTGCTTGTAATAATTAGTTTTAAGTGTTTTAATTATATTATTACATATGTTTCTATAATTTATGTATTTAAATTTGAGTGTGTTATCGTTTGTAGACTTTTTATAATTGATATACAATTTATTTCTTTTCCTTATTGCTCTAACTACTCCGTCCGTAATCCATGGTTTTAGGCGTCTTTTCCTGTTAGAGACTTTTATAGCGTATGTGTTTTTATTGATCACATTTTTTATTCTATCTATAAGATTTTCTGCAGCTTTGTTAGTGTCATTTATAAGTAAATACTCTTGCCAATTTTCCAATGCTAAGTCGTTTTTGATAGCACTATAGTTTATTTTATTTATGTACTTCAATTTGTTATTTTGAGCAGGTGAGTTAATATTTTCTACAAGTAGCAAAATTGGCGACTGATCGGTAAGTTCACTAAAAACGAACGATTGCCATCGTTGGTTTGTTTTTATCATGAAGTGGTCAATACAGGTGTTATATCTAGTTGGTTTATCGACGCCCGGAATGAGACCATAATAGGCCAGTTGCGTACGAGCAAGCGTGACTAGATATTTGATTAGGAAGAATATCAATGTTGACATCTCCAGCCAAGATAATATTGCGTGAGGGTAGGTTCTGAAGTAGGTTACCTAATGAATCAATGTAGTTTGTAGGTTTAGAAAAACAAGGTGGTCTATACGTGCAAATGATAACAGTGTCGTTCTGCAATGTTACTGTTAAACAATTACCTTCTGTTATACAGTATTCATTCACCGTGCATTCTATGGTGTTTCGTATGTAAACTACCACACCGTCGTTTTGGTTATAACTCTTTTTAGTAAAACGTACTTTATAGCCATATATATCAGGTGAATTTTTATATTCATTAGTCCAGCATTCTGTTAGTACTAGAATATCGATAGTGTATTCCAGGCTAGAGATAAAAATAAGCAATCTAGATTACGATTTATGCTCCGAATATTAAGAGCTAATATTGATAAGTTATTACAAAAGCTACTCAATAGTTCTGAACAACATGTTGTGTCATCTACATAGATACAGTGCGGATTAACATTACTGTCAATGTCTTTAATATTATTTGGATTGAATTTTATTAAAGAATATAACAGTATCAATATAATCAAGGACAAATTTTATGCATATTGAAAAGTATATTAAAGATGGTATATTTCGTGGTATTGTTAAGTATATTTGGAAGTGGACGACGCTTATAATATGTAATTGAAAGTAGGTGTTTGTATGTGTGTTAAAAAAATACTATCAATATTAAGAGAAAACATATTTTAAAGAATATTAAGGTACTAAACAAAATTGAGTGCTTATAAATAGGCATTAATACTAGCGGTGTAATCTTCAACATATAGCAGCCGATGAATAGTGCTAGTCATATTTCCTTGTTCTTTAGATTATTAATGTCACTTTCCGAATTTATGCCAATCTGTGGAGCACCAGATTCTTTTCTTAAAAACACCTTACCAAAGGAAGTCCAACAAAACTTATAGTTATACATGACAGCATGTTTTCTTGCTAGATAAAAGAGATGTTTGCTTTTTGGCGTTAGATTTTCGGAAATGAATACTGGTGTGCGTGGACCTTTGATTGATAATTGGTCTGTGTTTAACTTATCTTCTTTGTGTTCTTTGTTGAAGTATTTCGAAGCCCTTAGAAATTTTTCCTTTACTAATACTGTCGTGAACTCGACAATTATCGGCTTGTTTGTTGATTTTGAATAGGGTCTAAAAACATCTTTAATATCCGAGTTCTGTATTGGAATTTTAATTATGTTTCCTATAGTTATAACAGTATTTGTCAAATCCTGCTTAGTCTCACTCTGATTTTTTGGTATGTTTCTAATTTTAATACTAGCAGAACGAATCTGCTTTTCTAACTGTTCAATTTTTTCTTCGAATATTTGCGTCTGGCTTCTACCTTCTTTTTTTGTATTCTCAAGTTGAACTAATCTCTCCAATACATCATCATATTTTGCCACAGTAAACTCTACAGACTCCTGTAATTTAGTATTTTGTTCTTTGATTTGTTCTATTAGCGACTGCAAAGACAGAAAGTATTGTTGCTATTTCTTTTCAAACTCCCCAAACATAAATAAAATTTCTGATTTGAATGCTAACATTTCTGATTCTCCAATTTCTTCTTTTCTTCTTTTGATGCGTTTTGACACATTAGAAGTAAGTTCTGAGTCAGACAACGTTGGCACTTTCGTATTATCAGCTTGCGCTGCTAGCAAGGTAGATTTCGAGCCAGATTGCGTCGGTGGCGGCATGCGGTCGACAGGCATATTTAAAACAAAGTACGAAATAACAGGCTTATAATATGTGCAACCGTAAATCAATTATCTACTATTTTAGATCTTATAGCAATAGATATACAGTGTTCACTACACTTCCTTGCCCTAAAACCCCCTCAGAAATGAGGGGAGGCCTGTGCCAAGGAGTGGAACGTATATAGGCTGTAACTTTACTTTACTTTACAGCCGTCCTCAACGGGGACCAGCCATCTGCGAGCTAATAAGTGCGTAAGCACAGGTGCACTCTTTATTAAAAATAAAGGTAAGTTTTTACTCTCGGAATTACTACCGGAACTGAGATGCTCAGGGGTTTAAGCCAAGTTGACATCTATTAGTCTACATATATTACTGTGATATTATCTATTAACACTGCAAGAACTTTCTGACAATTCGGCGTGTGTTTGCTCGTAAGATAAGCCTTCTGTAAACTAACAAAAATTTGTTCTGGTAGATCGAGTGATTTGAATAACAGGTGCAAAGTTATAGGTATATTACCGTGTGGTTGACATAACTATGGGTACTATACTTACAGTTTAGAGATTCCACATACGTTTTATTTCATTTTTGAGGTCTCTGTACTTTGTAAGTTTTTCTGATATAATATCAGAAAAACTTACAAAGTGATATTGTTGACTGCAGGTTAGAGGTATTAGGTACAGCTATATCTATTAAAGCTGCAGTTTTGTTAACTATAGCTGTATCAGGTATGTTGAAGTGGACAGTCTTGTCTGTCAGTATAAAATTTATATTTACAGCGAGCGTAAACTATCTGAGCTACCATGGTCTGTCAGTATGGCTCTATCGAAATATAACTTTAGAAGCGACAGTAGCCTAATGGCAGGGCGCGGACCGCGAACTCCAAAAGGTCGTGGGTTCGAATCCGCCATTCGACTACTGGCGTGAACCACTTGTAATACAAGCAATTTAAGCTTACCACGAGTGGTTAAGAGGAATATTAGTAATGTTTATAGCACTGTTAATATTCTTTTTTTTTAGAAAAAAATATTATGTTTGGTTTTCTAAGACAGTCTCAGGAGTATAATTATTTATAGTAAGGTATGCGTTATGTTTGGATGATATTGTATTTTAGTACTAATTCTTGATATTATACGTAATAATAATAACAGTATTTACATAAAAATCTTAACAGTAAATTCAAATAGAAATATAATGATGAGTAACTGTATAATCTGTCATGTATACAGTCTTGATTACGTGTCTGTTTAAAATCAATAGAAATTAATACTCCTAAAAATTTCCCATTTTAGACAGTATATATTTAAATAGAAATATAACGATGATCTTTTATAAGTAAAACTTGCTACATTCGCGATTAAGGTACAAGTAGCATTTTTTTACCGGCAACTAAATGTTACTCTAGATAAGCGCAGTTTGTTTGAAAACGGTCGGGTTTAAAACGGGCAGGTATACTTACGAGTTAAAAGCTTTTGTTAAAGTTATTTGAAATGTTAAGTTGCTTTTCTAATACATGACATGAACATTGCGTAGAGAAGTTAATATGATATTATTTTGTTTTGTTTCTTATTTACGAAATTAATTACCAAAATTTCTATCACAGATCTAAAATCTTTCTTCGTTTCCTGCGCCTAAATTTACTAAGTAACGTATTTTAGCTATTAAATTCTGGATAAGACTGGATAAGATCTTTTGTATTTGGAAGCCTATATGAGGCCTGCGCTCACAGATGTCACGGGATAACATAGTGTGGCAAGAAATACTTCGGCATGCCGAAGGATACTGGGGCATCTCGCGGCATGTCGAAGTATCTTGTGGCATCCCGCGGCGTGCAAAACAAGTCAAGATGCGCAACGAGCTAAATTCAACCTTTCTTTAATTACTTAGCACTTATAATCCCCTAACAACATAAAGTAACATATGCGTTTCACGTGATGCAGTGGCGTGCCGCGGCATCGCTTGAATGCCGTGACGTGCAACAGCATGCCGCGGTTTCATGCGAAACGTTTCGGTCTAAACGTGTAAATATTGGGACATTGACAATTTTTTATAGGAGATGGGCAATCATGCGGCTCATCTGATGGTAAATGACTACCGCCGCCCATGAACAAATGCAACACCTGGGGGGATTGCAGATGCGATGCCGGCCTTTTAAAAAAAATACGTGTGGCACTCGGTGACTGCCGCGGTAAAGCTATTGCATAGCATTTTTTATTAACTTATGCAATTATAATTATTTATTTATTTTATTTATGCAGTTAAGTCTTTGATATTAAATCAATTTACACTTTTTGAGCGTGGTGACCTATAAGAAAACAATTTTTTTTCTCTTATTGAATAAATGAGAAGTTAATATTGTTTAAAATATTTTTAATATCTTACAATACATGTAGGTTATTCAGGAATTTTTATCATTGAGTTAGCAGCTAGTGTACACGCATACGTCTAGTCGCATGCACACAAACACCGTGCCGAACTCTGCCGAGTGCCGAATTCTGCCGAACTGAAACGACGTTAGACGATGCACGGCTTTCAACGCCACAACTCCGTGCCCGTCGGAGTGGGGAGCATGAGGTTTTTTTTCGTTACGGAATTTCTGGATTCGGTCCCCGCGCTCAAGGCCCGCGATAGAAGCTATGCAATAGCTTAAAAGGGATAAGCTCTTTTCTTGAAGGGCCCTAAGTAGTATCGGCCCGGAAAAATCTCTCATATTAGTTGATTCCACAAGGAATTTGTGGGAGGAAAAAAACTTCTTTTAAATCGCACAGTGGTGGACCGCCAGTCATCCAGACGGTGTGGATGGTATCGCGAGTTTTGTCGCCATATATGATAGTGAAATTATGCGCCTAGAGTTAGTCAGAACAATTCCTCAGAGCACTCCCCGTGATATATGCGACATTTCTCAATGAGATCATTAGAATAACGTATAAAATATTTTTGTAACGAAAAATCCTTTGACACGTCGTGCCATTACGTGCCGTCTGAGAGCGCAGGCCCTAAGGAATAACATAATAATATTTGTTTTAAATTTCACTTAGTTGGTAATTATATTATGTACGTAGGTACATTATTGATTAATTATTTACTTAAATGCTTACAATGTAACTGAAATTAAAACATTTCGCAATACAAAAAAAATTACGAAAATGTCGAATGCTAATTACTGCTACAGCTTTTCTAATATTTTGTAATAGTCCAATTTTAAGTGGGACAAAAACAACCAAAATTTATTTTCGTACCTCATTAACGTTTCTTCTCTTTTTTTTACAGAACTTGAAAGAAATTTTCTCGCTGGCTTAACCCAGGTTCATTTTTATAAAATAAGGAGACAAACAAGCACACAGTTCACCTGATAGTAAGTGATTGCTGTGGCCCATAGAGATATACAGCTATCCTCAATTACGAATCAAATTGCAGATGCGTTTTCACCCCTTAATGAATATGATAGAATGCCTCATTTCCAGCGAAAAGTGTCACCGGTTCTCTAAACTCACCCTACGAAACACAGCAGTGTTAAGCTACTTTTTCACGCTGGTATTCTGTGAGAGTGTGTTCCTGCCCCGTCGAGCCTACCCATTCATGCTACAACTATACTAATAATATAGCATGGCTCTACTACATATAAGATTTGTAAGATATTTTATAGTGTTTTGAAGATATTTTAACACTTTTTTTGTATTTCTTAGACAAGATTTTTGTAATGCTTCTTTTCCGATCCATTTAAACTTTTTTTAAGTCAAGATCGATTTTTTATAGCAACCGAACCGTTGGAAATCTAAAATAAGTAAAATAATAGAGCTAGAGCTCTTGATCGCCAGACATTTTTTATTTTATAAAAGCTGAAAATTTCTCAGCGCATGCTTCCAACATAGGTAGAAACAATGGGATACTATATATATATATATATATATATATATATATATATATATATATATATATATATATATATATATATACCTCACAGGTGACAACGCATCTGCATTTTGATTTGTAATCGAGGATAGATGTAGATGTCTATGGGCCGCAGCAAACACTTAGCATTAGGTGAACTGTGTGCTCGTTTGTCACCCTATCCAATAAAAAAATGTGTCTATCAGGTTTTATTTAGGTTTTAATTTTATGTACCATATTTCTTTTTAAAGCTAAGAATCTGAAAAACAACATCAATTTGTTGTCTAATTTATTTTTTCAAAAATGTTTTTTACTAATACTGAAAAATTAAAAAATATTATTTTGAATCTAGATTTATTGTCTACACTATTAACTAACTTTTGAGACCAATTTTGTTTTTGAAAGTCTTCTACTTGAGTAGATATTGTTAAATTAATACAAGCATCTATGCTTCGCCAACAATTTTTTTTAAAGTGCTGCCATTTTTTTATTGATGGCGAAAAAAAAATCATTGATCCCTGATTTGTCGATAAAATTAATTGTATTTTAACCCCTTAAAGTATCGGACATCGGAAACCGGACACATTGTATAATACAAATTAAATAGTATATATGTTATTGTGTTATGGCTACATACACTCTTCGATGTAAAAATTTCAAATACTTCCTTTAAATGAGCGAAGATATATATCAGATCTCATTCTCACAAAGAGAAGAGATCTTTAAAATTGTGAACGGAAATTTTCATTGTCTTTTTTTATAGAAGAGGGGGGCTCCTGAACTTCCGGCTAAACTAGGTCAACGTACCTCATCATATGGTGTGCGGAAACCTACATTTGTATCTGTAGCATACGTGACAAGTAATTACAGGCAAACTCTTTTACTATTAGATCATGCAGATCTATTAATCCTACAACAAATATTCATAAAGCTGCAGCGTTCTTCAACTAAGGCGTTGACTTTCTAATAATTTATTTTCTTTTAATAATGTTCTTAATACTTAAATGTACTGTTTTTTGCCCTATAATCTTATATTTCTTCTGTCATACTCCTTTTGTATTAAGTGTTCTATAAGTGAAAACTTGTAACTGGCCTTCATTTTTGTTATATTCATTTTTTAAATTAGCCGTAATTTTTTCTGAGCAAATAAAAAAATAAACAGTGTGGCCTTATTAAATTTTCTTAGTGAGTGCGTGCTCGTTGTTACACGTGGCAGACTTCTCATCAAATTCCTGACCTACCTGACATATGTATGTTACCCAAATCTGTCAGCAAATCTTATTAACAAGTTGAAGCACCTTCTTAACAATTAAATAAGGATTATTTTTGGTTTACGTTAGTATGACAACATATCTTCCTCTTATTGAAAGCTTAAATGGCTTAAATGGAATTTTACTCGTACTTTATTCAATTTTAAATAATCTGATAATGTCACATGGCATTAAGTTCTTCCTATGTACCTTTTACCTTAAGGTGTTATATATTTAAGTTATAAATAAATAAATTCATATTGAACAATTTCACAGACTGTAGTCTATCCCAGTCTGTGAACATGTTTTAGATCGACCACAATTCCTTGCAAAAAACACCGATTCCTAGCAAGGATGATACGCGAGACTATTAAAATTAAAAAAAAAACTTTCTAATTTCAACAGAGAAGATGGATGGATGTTCCATTTGCCTAGGATCCTATAATTAACAAAATTAAATCCAAACCCAAGCATACCACTGCAAAACTTCAAGATACTGTAGGTTCGTTCTGCGTAGATTGGACCAAAAATTAAAATTAATATTCAAAATCTGAAGGTAGTCGGGCTAACTATGATACTGTGACGTCAAAAATCTTAGTCCCTGCTGCTGAAACTATAATATAGTCGTATTGAAATATTATTTCAAGTTTTCAAATTGCTGACTATTTTCTTGCGTGGAGACTAAGATTTAATATATTTAACATTTTTAGCAAGACACTTGACGGATGGTAAGAACTGACTAATCTTCTTCGGCGGCTTGTAGAATGTTCTAATAGAAGCTCGCTTCAAGATGTAGCCAATCTTGTCTGTGACACTTCTGACATATGGTAGTATAGCAGGCACACGCTCGACTGTGGCCGGCTTCACCCATTTTCAAAAATTGTTCTATATGAATCCTAGAGTGATAATTGGACCACTATAATTTTTATATATTTTTTTACACCGAATTTTGCCTTAAAAATTACTTTTAATCTATCGTTTATAATTTTCGCGTGAAAATTTCCGCCATGCTGTTTAACTCGTGACATCACTGTAGTCGATTTTGCCGATTTTGGAAAGGAATAATATACTTTTTAATGTTTTATAATGAGTTATCATCTAAGTCATTGTTGTGTTGAGCTTGAATGCAAAAATACGAGCATAAGAACGCCAGGAAAGTTATGGATTCAAGTGTCAAGTATTTATATATAAGAAGTACTTGATTAATACTGGCAAGAAGGTACCCGAATACAATGTCTACGAAAACCAGAGTGATCTTCTGTGAAGATAATTTTGATGTAAGTATGACTTATATTTAACTATCATTTAATATAGAACAAAACATCATGAGATGAAGGGTATCGCAAGTCAAATTTTGTAATAAATTACGTTAACTTAGATATTATAACTAATGATTGCTAATGATTGTAATTATAGATGAACTAAACTATGATAGCTACTAAAATATGTTTTATTAAAGTACACTCTCACCTGGTATTGTGTTTTGTATAAACAAAAGTTGGTAATAGGTACTTACATTGATGGTTTAACACTCCTCAACTCAGAAGAAAAAAAAATTGGGATTGCTTGCAAAAAATGTTGCCACCATCAATTTATTTATCCTTGGTAGATAAGTACTTTCTGCTTTTACGAATTCGTCTTTCATAATTCCTTTTCAATAAAATTTTCGGAACAAAACTTAATAATCATAATGATAACTTGAAAAAAAATTCGAAATAACACAGCACGTTAGCTAATTCTCTTAACCGGTGACACAGAATACTTATACCCTTAGGCTGGATCAGCGACGTCACGACATTTTCTAACATGGTGGACAGCGTGTTGCAGATTTGAGGCACAGACGAAAAAAATCTTAAAATTGAAATATAGAATTTATAATGCAATTTTATAAACAGAAATCAATATTTCTCGTTTAATTTTTAACAAAATCTATCAGAAATTTGTACAAAATATATTTTGGTGTAAAATACTCTGTTATTTTCTCCGTTCTTCGGCTAATCTTAAGTTGCTCACTCCTTTACCGTACTGGTTATTTATCTCACTCTTTTGCCGTTACGACCATCAGACTCTGGAACAACATCCCTCTTGACATTAAAAAAAGCTCCCAACAAGTTCGTTTTTAAAAATCAAGTCCGTAAGCATGTGAAAAATTCATTGCAAGTTTTTCGTATATATTTCATATTTGTTTTGACATAGATAATATTTATACGTACCTATTATGTATGTGTATAAAGATATATATTTATCTATTTATGTGTATATAGTTTACGTATTTAAGTGTATATATATATATATGTGTGTGTGTGTGTGTGTGTATACATTATTTTATTTTATTATTTTTTACCCTTCCTATTTCGATTATTGCTGCACCGCCTCCTAAATGTCTATCTCTGTTTAGCCTAATGGTTAACTGGGAGAGAATACTCTATGGCATTAAGTCCGTCACATGTACTGCTTTGTGCATGAGAGTGTAAATGAATAAATGAATAATTAATAATTGATAACATAGGGTATTAGCATTAATAGCGAAAATATCACTTACATTAGATTTACCGACGATATAGTAATTATGGCAAAATCGTCAGAGAACATCAGCACATTGCTCGACGAGGTCAAAAGTGTCTCACAATGGATAGTTCTTAAGACTCATTACGTGCTAGAGCCACGCTGCAGATATATTACGACTGAGGTAGGATCACGCTCTCACAGAATACCAACGTAAAATAGCAGCTTTACGCTGCTATATTTTGTATAGTGAGATCAGAGAACTGGAAACGCTTTTACTGGAAACTAGGTATTCTTTCTTAGTCCTCTGGGGTGATAACGCATCTGGATTTCGATTTATAATTAGAGATAAATGTACATGTCTGTTGGCCAAAGCATCCACTTAGGTGGAATGTGTGCTCGTTTGTCATCCTAATTCTGTAAAAAATGAACATGGACAAGACAAACATCAGGTATGACATCCATGTCACAGTTATGCCGGTAGTTGTCGGAGTAGGTACTACGCTTGAAATTTTTGGAAAAATTGTCCGATTATGTAAGTCTGGGCAGCGGTCGTGACATTATAGCTAGTCTTATTGCTCGAAGAACCGACAACCGATAAGAACCGTTTTTTGTGGCATCCCTTGGGGGAGGCAGAGGTCTGAGCTTACGTTCAGCAGTGAACTTGTGATAATAGTAATCATAAGAGATATTTTCTGGACCTGTTTCACGCGGCTATCGATATGAGGGGTGATCAGCTTATGAGGATTGCTCTGGGCTCAAATGCAGAAGCCTCATCAATACAGACATCATCATCCGCGCATTTTTTTTCTTATCCTCTAAACCTCTGGCCGTTTGGTGTCCCCTGCCAAAGGTTTCCATCTGGTTACGATTTAATTAATTAATTAAGTTTTACTTTGTATACAGTTCAACATATATCTATTTTATTTTATCTTATCGTCATCAGTATAATAAATCAGTCTTTTAAATTAAAATAAGTGATATAGTTACATTCGTATCCTGTGTGTCCATGTTAAAGAAATCGCTTTACTTTATACATTCAAAATATAAAATAGATTATAATGATCAAAACCATTACATATTGTTGAACAAGTAAGTCGTTAATTTTCTATTTTCGTCAGTTTTTTTATCCACAATAAAAATATGTTTTAAGATTTATTTTATATTATTTAATTTTAACATTCACATTATTAAAAACGTTACATATAGCTTGATTTTTGTAGTTGATGAGACTTACTTAGTCGACGTTACTTCGTTTGACCGATCTTTTCAAACTTTTTCGGTAGTCATAGAAAAACCAACTGTAAAAAAATGAATTTTAAAAAGTAATACCAACTTCATAGAGCTACACTAAAAGACAGAAAACTAAAAAGAATGATATCATCGAAATCGGTAAACGTGGTAAATATTAATTATGAGGCCATATTTCGTGCCCTAACAAATCGAAGAGTGATGATTTTCTCATGGTTCATCAGATCTTGGCCTAGTGATGAATATGAGACCACTTCCGAGGTACCCACTTTCTATTAAAAGTGGAATATTTGGAAATAAAAAACGTGATAAAGAATTACCGCTACACATAATATCAAAAATTTCCGACGAATTTAGAATGTGTTCACGTCCATTTATGGAAGTCGGTTAAAAAGTGCAATGAGTATGTTTCACTAATATCTTTTTTCTTTATTAGAATTTTCCAATTATAAGAAGAATTTGCCATAATGGCCATCTGTGGCCGGTGGCTTGGCAATCGCTGTACTAGGTAATTAATTTCTGGTGTAAAAGATATATACGTAGTAGAACAATGCTGCAGCTATATTGTGATAGTATCACGAATGGGTCGGCTCAGCCGGGAAAGGGTAACGCTTCCACAGAATACTAGGGTAAAATAGCAATTTAATTCTGCTGTGTTTCGTACAGTGAGTGTAGAGAGCCGGTGAACCTTTTTGCTGAATACAAGGCATTCCATCTTTGTCCTCAGGGTAACAACGCAACTTAATCGAGGACAAATGTAGATATCATTGAGCCACAGTACTCGCTTACCGTTAGGTGGACTATATGCTCGTTTGTCACCATTATTCTATAAAAAGGATTTAAAAACATCTATTAGGGGTCCATGGGATTTTTCTCGCATTTCCAAAGTCATCTCTTAAGACACCGATGAGAGTAAATTGGGTGATGGATTTCCTTACTCCGCTAAATATATAAATACGGTATTTTTGAGCTTCATATAGATGGCGATAATAATATCCTATCTGTATCGAATTCAGAATTTTACCACATGATGAAGATAAAAAAAGGATGAAAACACAGTATGGGAAGAAAAAGAATTTTTTAAGAGAAAAGTGAAAATTGGGTGGACTTACGTGAATGCACAAACAGCTGGTATTGTCATGGCAGCTCCCAACAGGAAAACTGCTCCTGGCAGTACTTCCATAGTTGCGCTGTACACTTTTGTGTACATCGGAACATAGAGTAGTGGCATGAGACTTTCAGTTAAGGCAAGTAACGAGTTAACTTTACCTAAAATAAGACGTAAAGTTTCCTTTTTTAATCGTATTTATTATATTTTCTACCAAGGATTCCTTACGGATTGGTGCCTGCGCTCATGATAGTGTTCCATGTTAGTTATTAAGTTCGATAGTTCACCAGTGGCTTGGTTACGTGTGTCTTCATTGTCTGATGGTAATAAAGTTGAATGACTTAGCTCAACTAAACCTATTACCTCTTACTTCGAAGACATCCAGATTATTATTAGATGGAAATACACCTGAGGCTAATCAATTAATCTATTTCTACACTGTAATCATAATGAACGATGAAGCAAACCTTATAATTCGAATGCACGGTGTGTCTACAAACAAAGGAGTGGAGACTGGATGAGTGTTTGGTTGTTGAATTGTGGAAGAGAAGAGTGAGTCAGTCAGTTGCGTCACGCTATTTCAGCGCATACTCTGAAATATAACCTTCTTTTTGATTAAAACTGCTTTTACGGATTTTATCGCGTATATTTTACTATTATTTTTTTTTAATTCCCGACGTTTCGGGCGCTTTCCAGCACCCATGGTCACGGGGGACTGAGATGACTGACGTCCCGATGTCATTGTTAAACCCGGAGTACCTTCAGCTTTTTTAATTATTGTTTATGGTCCGATCTATGCAAAATGAACTGACTATGTCCTGAGGTCTTGCAGTGGTATGCTTAGGTTTAGTTTTAATTTTATTGATTAAAGGATCCCAATCAGGTGGTAGTCTCAGCCTCCTTCTCTATTGAAATTAGGATGTTTTTTTTTTAATTTCAATAGCCTCACGTATCATCCTTGGAAGGAATCGGTGTTCTTTCGCGAGGATTTGTGGTCTATCAAATCTGATGTAATGGTTGGGGCCGTCTAGGATATGATCGCAAACTGCAGACTTCCCGGAACGTTAATACTTCACATCAGCTATGTGTTCTTTTACGCGGGTTCTAATTGATCTTTTTGTTTGTCCTATATAAGAGAGACCACATTCACAATCAAGCTTGTACACTCCTGCATCTTGTAGAGGAATATGACACTTGACTGATGGTAGGAACTGACTAATCTTCTTCGGCGGCTTGTAGAATGTTCCTATAGAAGCTCGCTTCAAGATTTAGCCAATCTTGTCTGTGACACCTCTGACATATGGTAGTACAGCAGGCACACGCTCGACTGTGGCCGGCTTCACTCGGTCACTGTGACGTAGGCGCGGGACCCGAAGCTTGTTGTCGTGCAGATCTTGCTTGACGTGCTGAAGCTTGGCGGCCAGGTCTTTGCTGTCACAGATCCCTCGTGCTCTCTGTAACAAAGATTTGCCCACGGTAGCTAACTGTGAAGGATGGTGGTGAGATTCACCGTTTAAATATCGGTTTGTATGGGTCTTTTTCCTACACACAGTGTGACCAATGGTGTTGCTAGGATTTCGGATGACTAACACATCTATGAAAGGTAAGGAATTATTTGCCTCTAACTCCATAGTAAATTGAATTTTGGAGTTTATGGAATGCAGATGTTCCGAAAATGCAGTTACTTTGTCTGATGGTAAAATTGTGAAAGTATCGTCTACGTACCACTTGTAGATCCTTGGTGTAACAGGTGCAGTAAGGAGGGCTTTCTCCTCAAAGTCTTCCATGAATATATCGGCGACAATGGGAGATACAGGTGAGCCCATCGCAACACCATTTACTTGCTTATAAAACTCTTCCTTCCACAATAGATAGCCAGATGTAAGGCAATGTCTGAGTAATACTGTATATTCTGCTGGCATATTATTTTACTCTAGTTTCCTAGTTATAACTGAGATGCAGTCTTCAACAGGTAGGCATGTAAATAGAGATTGAATATCAAAACTGACCATGGTTTCATTGTCAGTAAGACGTAGGTCTTTTTTCTCACTGAAAAAATGGTATGAATCCTTAGTGGGTGCTCTTGTGTGTCCTCTGAGTAGTGATAATATTTTAGCTAAGTATTGAGCCAATCTGTAAGTTGGCGAATCAATATGACTCACTATTGGACGTAATGGAGCGTTCGGTTTGTGTATTTTTGGTAACCCATACAACTTCGTTGGTTTGGCACATGAAGGTATTATCGAATTAACGTCCAGATTCAATTTTTTGGAGTATTTCTTAATTGGATCGCTAGTTGTTTTAAGCGTATCAGTTGTAGGGTCTGTTTTGACCTTTCGGTATGTAGTTTCATCCGACAAAAGTTGTTGTATTTTAAAATTGTAATATGACGTATCCATTATAACCATAGCATTGCCTTTATCTGCGCGGAGAATCGTAAGCTCTGGTCTGTTGCGTGAGTTTTTCAATGCGTTAAATTCATTTTTGGGAAGATTTAATTTCAGCGCTGAACTTCGACGTAACATAGATGAAATGTCTTGACTTAGGGCCTCTAAATCTTCATTACCAATGTTATTTTTATACAGACAGTCCTCAACACTACAGATAATGTCCTCATACAGTATTTTTCGCGGTGTTATTGCGAAATTCGTACCGTTTTTCTAAAACTTTTATTGTGTTGTCGTCCAGTGTTTGTTTCGATAAGTTGTAGACAGCGCGTTGTTTATGATTCGTGTCTGTGGTCAACGATTTCGTATGTTGGACATTTGATTTAGTTGTTAATTTATGGTATATATCAATATGTTTATTTTTGCATTCATTGTATTTAGTTGTTTCGCGTTTATCTAAAGTTTTTATGCAATTTTTATAATCAAATGCCGATAAAACTGTCTTTAATTCACTGGACGAATTGTCTATGGTTTTGTTTACGAAATATAGATCGGTACGTTTTTGCTGAATCACCGTTATTAACAACTTTTTACTAGCCTGATTTAAGATCTTAGCACTTCCACGAATGTCTTTTTTAGTGGATATCTTGACACACGTAGGAATGAGATTATGATCTCTGCATCTCTTCAAGAAATTTAAAGCTGTTATGTATCTTGCGCGCTTGGTCTTTAGATCTTCTAATCGGCGTATTTTATTTGCTATTTCCAGTCCGTACTGGTTTACATAATGATTTCTTATATTTAAGCGAACACTACACATTGATTAAAACTGCTTTTACGGATTTTATGGCGTTTATTTTACTATTTTTTTAATGTTTTTTTAATTCCCGACATTTCGAACGCTTTCCAGCACGCATGGTTACAGGGGACTGAGATGACTGACGTCTCGATGTCATTGTTAAACCCGGAGTACCTTCAGCTTTTTTAATTATTGTTTATGGTGCGATCTATGCAAAATGAACTGACTATGTCCTGAGGTCTTGCAGTGGTATGCTTGGGTTTAGTTTTAATTTTATTGATTATAGGATCCCAAGCAGATGGTAGTACCCAGCCTCCTTCTGTATTGAAATTAGGATGTTTTTTTTAATTTCAATAGCCTCACGTATCATCCTTGGAAGGAATCGGTGTTCTTTCGCGAGGATTTGTGGCCTATCAAATCTGATGTAATGGTTGAGGCCGTCTAGGATATGATCGCAAATTGCAGGCTTCCCGAAACGTTGATGCTTCACATCAGCTATATGTTCTTTACGTGGGTTCTAATTGATCTTTTAGTTTGTCCTGTATAAGAGAGACCATATTCACAATCAAGCTTGTACACTCCTGCATCTTCAAGAGGAATATGACACTTGACTGATGGTAGGAACTGACTAATCTTCTTCGGCGGCTTATAGAATGGTCTAATAGAAGCTAGCTTCAAGATCTAGCCAATCTTGTCTGTGACACCTCTGACATATGGCAGTACAGCAGGCACACGCTCGACTGTGGCCGGCTTCACTCGGTCACTGTGACGTAGGCGCGGGACCCGAAGCTTGTTGTCGTGCAGAACTTGCTTGACGTGCTGAAGCTCGGCAGCCAGGTGTTTGCTGTCACAGATCCCTCGTGCTCTCTGTAACAAAGATTTGCCCACGGTAGCTAACTGTGAAGGATGGTGGTGAGATTCACCGTTTAAATATCGGTTTGTATTTAAACGGTTTACAGATTGGCTCAATACTTAGCTAAAATATTATCACCACTCAGAGGACACACAAGAGCACACACTAAGTATTCATACCACTTTGTCAGTGAGATAAAAGACCTACGTCTTACTGACAATGAAACCATGGTCAGTTTTGATGTTCAGTCTCTATTTACATGCCTACCTGTTGAAGACTGCATATCAATTATAACTAGGAAACTAGAGGTAAATAATATTCCAGCAGAATATGCAGTATTACTTAGACATTGCCTTACATCTGGCTATCTATTGTGGAAGGAAGAGTTTTACAAGCAAGTAGATGGTGTTGCGATGGGCTCACCTGTATCTCCCATTGTCGCCGATATATTCATGGAAGACTTTGAGGAGAAAGCCCTCCTTACTGCACCTGTTACACCAAGGATCTACAAGCGGTACGTAGACGATACTTTCACAATTTTACCATTATACAAAGTAACTGCATTTTTTAGAACATCTTAATTCCATAAACTCTAAAATTCAATTTACTATGGAGTTAGAGGCAAATAATTCCTTACCTTTCCTAGATGTGTTAGTTATCCGAAATCCTAACAACACCGTTGGTCACACTGTGTGTAGGAAAAAGACCCATACAAACCGATATTTAAACGGTGAATCTCACCATCATCCTTCACAGTTAGCTACCGTGGGCAAATGTTTGTTACAGAGAGCACGAGGGATCTGTGACAGTAAACACCTGGCCGCCGAGCTTCAGCACGTCAAGCAAGTTCTGCACGACAACAAGCTTCGGGTCCCGCGCATACGTCACAGTGAACGAGTGAAGCCGGCCATAGTCGAGCGTGTGCCTGCTGTACTACCATATGTCAGAGGTGTCACAGACAAGATTGGCTACATCTTGAAGCGAGCTTCTATTAGAACATTCTACAAGCCGCCGAAGAAGATTAGTCTGTTCCTACCATGAGTCAAGTGTCATATTCCTCTACAAGATGCAGGAGTGTAAAAGCTTGATTGTGAATGTGGTCTCTCTTATATAGGACAAACAAAAAGATCAATTAGAACCCGCGTAAAAGAACATGTAGCTGATGTGAAGCATCAACGTTCCGGGAAGCCTGCAGTTTGCGATCATATCCCAGACGGCCCCAACCATTACATCAGATTTGATAGACCACAAATCTTCGCGAAAGAACACCGATTCCTTCCAAGGATGATACGTGAGGCTATTGAAATTAAAGACATGATTAAAACTACTTTTACGGATTTTATCGCGTTTATTTTTACTTAAATATAAAGTATAAATATAAAGTAAAAATAAACGCGATAAAATCCGTAAAAGTAGTTTTAATCATGTGCAGTGTTCGCGTAAATATAAGAAATCATTATTAAAAGACATCCTAATTTCAATAGAAAAGGAGGCTGGGTACTACCACCTGCTTGGGATCCTACAATCAATAAAATTAAAACTAAACCCAAGCATACCACTTGAAGACCTCAGGACATAGTCAGTTTATTTTGCATAGATCGGACCATAAACAATAATTAAAAAAGCTGAAGGTACTCCGGGTTTAACAATGACATCGGGACGTCAGTCATCTCAGTCCCCGTGACTATGGGTGCTGGAAAGCGCCCGAAACGTCGAGAATTAAAAAAAATAATAGTAAAATAAACGCGATAAAATCCGTAAAAGCAGTTTTAATCAATGTGTAGTGTTCGGGTAAATATAAGAAATCATTATATATCCTTCTTTTTTTACGAGATTACCACCATTACCCTCTACCGGCAGTCGATAGTAAAAAGGTAGCAGTACTTGTACTGTTTTATTTCAGCCTAAAGCGTAAAGAGAGCCAATTTTTTATTTTTCTATTTTCCTGTCATCAGGACGACAGTGAGTTCTATTGTCATTCTGAAAGCCATAATGTCCACTTGCCATTAAGATGACAGTGTTATCAATTTTCATAGTGGTAGCACGGTAGAAAATTTCACCCCAATGTATTTAATATATTAAAAATTTCAATATCCTATACAATTTGATCTGATGTCTGACAAATAGTTGAGAAAAAGCGTAATTATCATCATTATTTATCTAAAATTATCCTATAAAAAATCCTCTTTATAACTTAAAATATTATGTGTGTTGCTAATGCTAGGCTAAGATATCACAGCCAGTTCAACATAAACATCCTTTGACTTCGTTCTATCGTTAGTTCTATAATACTTCTACTTATACTCTAGTTTTAATGCTGATATCCTTGATATGGATTCAATTACACCGTCCCCGATCTTGGCATTCTCCGTAACACGACAATCACTTGGACTACTTCGTTAAATGTAATTATTGCGGATATATTTTGACCAAAATACATACTGTGGTATGTAGGATCAATCGTGTGCGTGATTTTAAACATTTCATGCTGCACTGCACTGCGCTGCTCAATTCATCTGGTAAAGATGCAAATTATGGCAACAAACCAGAACCTTAAAAATAATTTTCGTAGAAGCCTGTTTTTAGTACGGAATAAAATACTGATGGTATCTTGGCTTTAATAATTTATAATACATATTTACCAAATTCATCGGCTGCTACCAATTTTGAAAGGATTGATCTCAAAGCCAACAGCGATGTCCCGTTCAAAATTTCTATTAAAGGTGCTAAAACATACATAAACTGAAAATTAGATCAAGTGTAGAAAGTATCATAAAAACGTTATATATACTAAACTTTGGAAACCATAATATTAAATTTATACTGAGCTCTACCTGGTGTATCAATGACACGGGACCCTCGTGCGAGAGGGGCCTCAATGTTATATTGCTATATTATGTGCTATATTAATCTACTGTAATACTTTCGGAAAAACGTTCCCTTAAGTAATGTAATATATCTGATATTGAGTCAACTTGGGTGAAGTTGACAACTCGACTTAAAATACATACTAAATAACAAATTTATATCGTTATATTATGTGACTATATTATACAAAATCGTCATAACATACATTCCACGGCTTCGGTTCGCCTTAAATTTCGGTCTGCAATCGTAAAGTGCAGTTTTGTGTAATGATTTACAATTTTTGCAGTGAAATAGATCACTGCGAGGAAATTTCAGTATGTAAGCAATAAAATGTATTCCTAGTATATTTTGTGAATGATTTCTTACATTTATGTGAATATTATTAACAATATCAATGAAAGCAACAAATTTTATGGATTTTGTCGCTTTTAATTTTGAAATTACTTCAGTAAGGTTAATTTAGTTTTCAAAATTAAACACGATAAAATTTGTAAAATTTGTTTCATTCAATATTTTTCATCCGAATTAAAAGACAATGATTAAAATATGAAACAATGAATAATGCTATACCAAAAGTAGTAGACCGCTTTAATATCAATAATTTGCTTTTAAACGGTAATAAACGAAATGTTTAATTCATAACACCTAATGCAGATGAATACCAGAGTGCTTATAAATGAGGAGGCGCTGAGCCTTGTTGAATCCACTATATTTCTCGAAATTTCAGTTGACGCAAAGCCTAAACTAGCTAGCAAACTTAGCTCTGCAGAATATGCAGTAAAAACATTAGAAGAATTACATGTGATGAAATAGCTAGATTAGTTTTATTTCCATAGCATTTTGTCGTATTATGGAACCTTGCTATGGAGTAACGCGAATGACATTGAAACTATCTTTGTTTTGGAACACAGAGTCATAAGAGCGATTTATATCCTAGGTGGTATGGAATCCTTAAAGAAAAATTTATAGGAATAAATATATTAACTTTGGCTTCTCAAAATATTTACGAAAATTTACGAAAAAAAAATAGGGGAATGAGGTGATCGCAACGATGCGGTTTCTAAATGTTTTCATTACAATTATATATATATATATATATAAATATATATATATATATATATATATATATATATATATATATATATATATATATATATATATATATATATATTATATATATTGAAACTTTATAAATATATTTTTTTATAAGAAAAGGGTGAAAAACGAGCACACAGTCCACCAGATGGTATGTGGTTGCTGTGGCCCATGACATCTACATCTATCCTCGATATCGAATCAAAATGCAAATGTGTTGTCACCCGTAAGGATTAAGATGGAATGCCTCCTTTCCAGTAAAAAGGGTCTCTGGCTTTCCACACTCACTATATGAAACATAGCAGTGTTAAGCTTCTATTTTACGCTGGTATTCTGTGAGAGTGTGGTCCTTCCCCGGTCGAGGCGACCCTTACGTGCTACTACTATACTTCTAATATAGCTGCAGTATGGCTCTACTACGTGAAAATATTTTATTGCTTTAATTATAGTCCCGCTGGGTTTCTTTCTGGTTTTTCCCAGGACAGTGGTTTTTTTCCAAACCAGTGATAAAAGTAAAAAATGAATAAAATGATATCAATTTATTCTGTTCTATTCCATTCTATTCGGAGGTAGAGTGTGTTTGGTAGTACTTTTAAGTGAAACAAGAATACTCAACTCCATGTCTGGAGTGGACATGGATTTTTGGTCACTGACGTCGTAGTAGCTTAGTACTATGATACGTTGGTGCTATTTTTAATTAACAACATTACCAGTTCTGTTGCCTAAGTCGACGGACATCATGTGGGCGTGTAATGAGGGGGCATTATCTGTATGATAGTTGCATTAATGCTTATTGCTACTTGCGGTATTACGTCTTGTGATGGATATTCGGGTGAGGTGTGCTTGATTCGACGCATATTGAAGTTCTGAACGATGGAGTTATGTAGGTGGTGACGATTGCTGGGATCGTATGGGGGACCTTAGGATGGCGGAAGCCCGATGATAGTCGTTTTGATGCTTGTTGCGTTTTGCGGCATTGCGCTTCTGTGACGATTGTTTGGTGGGTCGCTATTCTCAATGGCGCTTTCTGCGTCTTGGTTTGTCCGACTCCTAAGTAGATTTTCCCAAAGTAGGTCCGTTGATGACGGGGCTGCAGATTGTCTGGCTTCTATAATGTTTTATATAAGAAAAATAAGGTATTTCTGTAAATTTCTTACCTTACCTGTAATTATTGAAGGCAACTTGTTGGTGCATGAGACAAACATGATCGAAAAATGCATATACTCAACTTCAGTGACACTACCCTTCTGATGGCTGAAATATCTGCCTTTGTGTTGGTTGATGGAGCATATTGTGTCGACCGCATGCAAGTGGTAGCTAGAGGAAGTACGCTCTGAAGGCTGCGATCGAAAGCCACGTTAAGCAGCTTTCACCGCTTTGTCTACCTTTCACCTCAAGAGGCGTCGTGGACTGATGACACGTTCTACAGTTAAAAGTTTTGATGACCATACAATAGGTGCTGATGTCTTACACTTAGATCACATCTATAGGAGAGGTGGTCTGACGGTTGTTGGCAATAACGGAGGCATTTTATGGTCAGTGTGCTTTTTAAGATGTAAGATGTGTGCCTGAACCTTATGACGTACATTCACTGTGGCTGTATTTGATCGTATTCTGTATGGCGTTTACACGACATGCGCGATTTCAGTTAAAGGTGGGCGAAACTGTTATATTTTTTTAATTCGTTATGTTGTTGTAATATATTTTTCTAACTGTTGTTTTAAACTGTTATAATATATTATAACAGTTTCAAATATTACATTGTACACGCGGTTAGTTCGGTTCAGTTGTTGGTTGTGTTAGCATTTTGTTGTATGTTGTTATAACGATTATAAATATTATGATGAAAGATTATTACGATTATAAATATTATAAATATTAAACGATTATAAGTATTATATGAAGACAAAAAAATATTTTTAAGTTGTATTAGCATCATTTGAGTGTTTCATGTTTCATTTAAAATATGTATGTTAAGTGTAATGAACTTCCCTTACTACTTTTTACAGTTAGGACTGTCTGAATGTATGTTAAGCTATGTAATTATTGTATCTGTTATTATTATTTACTCATAATTTCAAACATTTTAAGAAAAATTCATTCATCATTCAGGCGTAGTTAAAAGCTTATTGATGTTATGTACATTTTGATTGAATTTTTACATTATTTACACTGTGGTTAAAGTTTTAGTTATCTACAATTATTTACATTTTTTCAGTTACTATTCAAAAACATTATTTGGTTTACTTTTGACGACGTAAGCCTTGTGAATCTATCCGATATTAAATCCGAACGGCAAAACTCTTCATACACTCCTACGTGTCTTTGCTTAAGGTGAAGCTTTAAATTTGTAATTGTACTTTTGAAAGATAAATTTTTTTTAATTGCACACTGTTTTTTTTTCGTCCACACTTTGGACTTAGACTTAAAGTAGTTCCAAATGGCTGCGCAACGCTGACGCGACTTTATTATACACTTTTACATACAACACGCTAAATCCTATGTATATTACACTAAATATTTAAAATTACTTTAGGAATAAAACTTAACGAAAAATAAACAAAAACAACAATAGCTTTTTCATGTACCATGGGGACCTGCTATCAAAACATTACGTAGGTATATAATTTAACAAATAACAGTGTCATTGTCATCTCAGCTAGACAGCTAACTGAACAGTAATATATTACAACAGCCAAAAAATTAAATAACAGGCACAACAAGCAACAGCTAGCAATCATCATCATCATCATCATTACAGCCCTTCACAAGTCCACTGCTGAACTTAGGCCTCCCCCCAAGTAACGCCACAAAGCACGGTCCTGAGCCACCCGCATCCATCGACATCCTGCATGTTTTACCAGGTCGTCACTCCATCTAGTGGGGGGTCGCCCTACACTACGCCTACCGGTACGAGGCTGCTACTCGAGAACCTTTCTTCCCCATCGGTTATCGTTATTCGAGCTATATGGCCGGCCTATTGCCACTTCAGCTTACTAATCAGTTGGGCTATGTTGGGCACTCTGGTTTTACTGCGGATATCCTCATTTCTGAGTCTATCACGCAGTGAAACTCCGAGCATAGCCCTCTCCATAGCTCGCTGAGCGACCTTGAGCGTCCTTATACGGCCAACGGTGAAGGACCACGTCTCAGATCCGTAAGTCATCACTGGCAACACGCACTGGTTATACACTTTAGTTTTCAGAGATTGAGGTATACCTAACGAGAAGATGTGTCGTAATTTCCCGAACGCTGCCCAGCCGAGTTGAATCCGTCGATTGACCTCTCGGTCGAAGTTGGACTTACCTAGTCGGACTATTTGTCCCAGGTAAACGTACTCACCAACAACTTCGAGCATAGCATGCTCGCCCAACAATTACCGGCATAGGTGTGACATGGACATTAAATATGATCTTTGTTTTGTCCATGTTCATCTTAAGACCTATCCGTTGGGAGACACCATTGAGGTCATTGAGCATAGTGCTAAGGTCCTCCATCGATTCTGCCATAAGGACTATATCGTCGGCAAATCGAAGGTGAGTGATGTACTCACCATTGATGTTAATACCGTATCCTTTCCAGTCCAGTAGCTTGAAACGTCGTCGTGAAACGCAGCGGTGAAGAGTTTCGGGAATATAACATCACCCTGTCTTACACCTCTCTGCAGTTGGATAGCTTTCGTACTCTGGTTCTGTACTCGCATAGCCATCGTAGCCCTACTTTTCAAACACTTCAGCACTGCAGTATACCGACAGTCAACTAG